GTGTGAAAATTGGAATAAGTGTTTATAACTTTGGATATTGACCGTCGCCATATTGACAGGGTGTCACGCGAGTGTGGTGTGACTAGGGGAGATGGTGGTGTTTACTTTGCGTTATTTTCTAGTCAATATTAAAAATATAAAAACCTATTTCCCCCCTTCAAGGCACCATTTTCGTTAAGAGGCAATAAATTATCTGTTTAAAAAAAAAATCAGATTTTTTTATGTAACCATACGGTCGTAATTAGTGGAAACGGAAAATGTTTTTTTTTTACAATTTTCTGGGGAATTTTCTAGGGACATGTCGGGCAAAAATCCATCCAACCGGGCCTTAAATTTGTTCATCATTCTGACGTTAAACTCAGAGAACAGATGAGGACACAAAAAAAAATCTAATTATTAATATTTCTTTTTTTTTGCGTTGNTACTTTGCGTTATTTTCTAGTCAATATTAAAAATATAAAAACCTATTTCCCCCCTTCAAGGCACCATTTTCGTTAAGAGGCAATAAATTATCTGTTTAAAAAAAAAATCAGATTTTTTTATGTAACCATACGGTCGTAATTAGTGGAAACGGAAAATGTTTTTTTTTTACAATTTTCTGGGGAATTTTCTAGGGACATGTCGAGCAAAAATCCATCCAACCGGGCCTTAAAATAATGAAAAACTTAAAAAATGGCTTAGTATTCATCCTCGTGGTACTGTTGTATTTTTAGTCTCAAAGTATATAAAAAAACGAAAAAAAATCCTTTTTTATTTATCAAAATCGGCCAATTTGTTCGCAAGATATGATTTTTCAAAAATTTGAGCTTTTGTTATTTATCCTGGCCAAACAATCAATGTTGAAGGAGCGAAAATTTAGAGAAAGTATGTACTCATGTAGTACTTGACTGGGAGCATATTAATTCAGGATTCTGAGAAACAAAAAAATCCNATATAAAAAAACGAAAAAAATCTTTTTTTATTTATTAAAATCGGCCAATTTGTTCGCAAGATATGATTTTTCAAAAATTTGAGTTTTGTTATTTATCCTGGCCAAACAATTAATGTTAAAGGAGGGAAAATTTAGAGAAAGTATATACTCATGTAGTACTTGACTGGGAGCATGCTAATTCAGGATTCTGAGAATGTCCCATATTCGAATATATATGGTATAATCTAGTGGGAAATACGGCGGTCATAGGGGATCTACGTGGTAACTAGCGCTCGACGCGACACCCCTAACACAAGCTGGGCGAATTCTAAAATAGCGAAAGTCTAGTAACGTCCTCCAGACTTCCAGGGGCCGCGGTTCCGCCCAAAATCGCTATTGCTTCAGCCTTTCATTGGTCTGTGACTCTTCTCATCTAGTCTCGGCTCTTTCACCCGCCTTCCGATGTCTCTGCCTGTCTCTCTTATAACAATTTCAAGAGTTCATATATCTATTTGAGGGGATCAAATAGATATATGAACGGTTGAAATTGTTGAAAAGGGATCAACCTGTAACGAGAAAATCTCATTTGCCTTATCAAAAATATTGAGGCAATATATTAGGTTGGTATCTGGTGGAATCGCTCACGGTGTTTCCCTCAAACACGAAAAAAATCGATTTTCGGGAAACGGATAAAATGCTTGAGAATTATGTCATTAAAAAGCTTGCAAATTTCCAATGCAATAAATCAGTTGGCACAACCCATTGGGCTTAAATCCTTTCTGAGAGTTTCAAAGAATATCTTTTAGAAAGGAAAGCTGAAGTTCTTCAGTAAAGTGGGTCGCCAACCAGAGTTTTGCATCGAAACTGTTCTCAATCTTTCAATGGTACTATTTAAAATGTTCTACTCCCTCTTATGGTTGAAAAATTCACGAAAGTAATAAAATACTTCAAGGTTTCAATGATTTATTACAGAGGATTATGCCAAATGTTTCGTTTCAGGTACGAATATAGAGTGGAAATGATTCACCAAGGCTCTCGAGACACTTCCAAGAACATTGTACGTGAATTCGCCTCTGATTTCGAGATAGGTGAATGCTGGGGTTACAATAGATTCTTCAGACTTGACCTTCTTGCTACTGAGGGATATTTAAACACTGATCTCGATACTCTAATTCTGAGATTCCAAGTTCGGCCTCCGACATTTTATCAACGCTGCAGAGATCAGCAGTGGTATATAAGTCAATTAGTTACTGTACAGAATACGTATGCGATGCAGATCAACCAATTAAAAGAGGTAAAATGGTACAAATGGAGGTAAAATTTTCTACAACTCAATCGATTTTCTACTAAAATCAATGAAAAAAACACTCGAAAAGATGAGATAAATGGGCTTCAAAGTTGATTTCTTCATTTACAATTGCTCTGGGATCCAAGAAAATGATTTCTTCTTCAAGTTTTTAGCTTCCAGGTTCCAAACATTGTAAATTCTCCATTCAATTGCATTTTTTTTCCATACGTTTTTGCAGAGACTGGTTATTGAAATTTCTCGAAATACCGTAACGGCTACTCGAGGAGCAGGTGTCACAATCGCATGCCACCAGCAGCAGAATCAAGAGGGCATCGATAATGACAGCAATGAGATTATCCACTCGAATGATGCATTTGTCGAGAATTTCTACAGTCCGTCCCGGTTTGAATTCAATTTTTTTCATTGGAATAGTTGGAAATGAAAAAAATGCTGGGCATAAAAACGGCCCAGTTTATGGATTCTACTTTTTAAGATATTTACAGTTTTTGTCTCTACAACTCCTTTTTGAACCAATGTTATAGTGGATTTCGGCATAAGGCTGCAAAAAACTTTTCTGGCGAATATGAGTTTACAGCCTGAGCCGAAGGCGAAGGTTGCAATCCTATGAGCTAGAAAAGTTTTTTTAGGTCGTTTGACGAATAATATTTTTTATTATAACGGCTGTAGACAGTGATTCACGATCCCGTAATATTGTCAAAACGTACGTAACTTTATATCGACAAAGTGGGCCTTCTCTTAAATACAAGAAGTTTTCGGAAACAATGTTTTTTCTTTATCTTACATTCTCCATTTTCGAAATGTATTACAAGATTGGGAGGTGAAAAATGCCCACTCCGTTTTTCTAATGTTTTTTTTACGATTCTAGGCCTATAGAAAGTGTGATCAATGGCATAACCCATCCAGAATTTGCGAGTAACAATGGGCTGAGGAGGCAACCCTGCCAGGGGGATAGTTTATCCCTTACTCTGCCTCAAAACTTAACTATCTGTTCTCCAAAGTCTGATGATTCTATTGGTCAGAATTCACCAGTTGTGGATAATTCTCCAGCCAAGTCTCAAACTCGAACCTCTCCATTATTCGTCCAGACTTTACGACACTTGTCGTCTAGTTCCAGTAGCGAAAGTGGTGTAAGTATCTCCACAACAATTTGAAAAAATTACTCCATCGACGAAATGAGGCTTTGAAACTATTTTACAAATTGAAATTCCTATTCTTCGAATGATATAGAAAAATGAATGAAATTTCGCTTTCGTTTGTTCAGGAAATTAGTGAAAACGAAATTTATCTGGAAGACTGTGAAAATGAGGAATTGAATCTCGGATTGATTGACGAAAACTTCAACGATGAGAATGATGTCGATGAGTCAATGACAGGTAATGTTCTTTCATGATTTTTTCTCTTGGTTTTATCCATTAAAATTGAATTTTCAATTCCTCAAGTGATCCTAAGCCCCCCAAAATCATGAAGATATCAGCTTTATTTGACTCCTGCTTTCAAAATTTCCTAGAAACTCAAAATAAGGGCCAATTGTTAATTAATAAGGTTGAAACGGAAAAGTTACCAAAGAGATATTTCTGATGCAGAAGGAACAAACAATAAAAATTACTACCAAAAAAGAAAAAAGGGGAAATTCCTTATCCCCGAAAAAGTTCTCAAAAATCATGAATTTCGTTTTCAGGTGAAAATGACGTGGAAGTGGCTGAATCCCTGAAGCCCTGGAACAAAACCTCCTTAAAACCTTGCCCTGAGGATGGTGCAAAGGGTCTAGATACGAGGAAATTCGTGTCTGATCCCTTGGAAGACGAAATAATGCTTTTGCATCTTTTCGAAATGCAGGATAGGAACTCAGGCTCATATCTCTTCTGTTGTAAACACCACTCAAAAGGCAAGTTCAACGAAATCCATGGTGAGCCATCATCCCACCCCTCCTTGACGAGTCCTCACATTTCCGGAGGCCACTGCCCCAGAATTGCCCGTAAGAATGATGGAATAGGAGTTTCCAGTAGTGAGAAACCATTTGCAGACAAGAAACATCGAGATATGGTAGTCAGACTCTTTCAGAGTCATTCGACCCCTAATCTCAAATGTTCTGACCCTCAAGTTGGGGCCCAATGTCTTCCTGGAGGAGCTCGAGAAATCCTTGAAGTCCTAAGAATGGAAGACAAGGGGATCGAACGCGATTGCGAGGAGGAACTTGCACATTCCAGTGAAAGGGAAATTAGTCTTTCTGGTCTGGAGATCAATCCTGAAGAATTGGAGAGGGAGAAAAGGCAGAAGAAGGGCATGGCGACAAAGGTTCTCGATTTTGAACAGCTTCTGGAGAGTTTTCAACTGTGCTCAACGAAGCAGACGGATGTTGCTGTCTGTATCGCGAAGTTGAAGTGAGTGAAAAATGAAAAGAATTAATATGGATATAATATAAAAATTAGAACCAATACTTTACTCGTTCAAGCATGTTTATTTAAAATTGCAAGCACTCAAAAAAATTGTGATTTTTTTTTTCTTAACCAATGCACAAAGTTATCTTCTTCATGCTGATAAGAATTTGAATCTACCAACCCAAGTTAAGTTGGTTATTATTCAGAGATAAAAAAGATGAGGCATTTAATGTTTTAAATATCTTCATTACATGCCTGATGCGATTCATTTTGTTTTTGTTTCTGAATGAAATCTTTGTAATCGTTCAAAATCAAATTTCCAAATTTTTAAGTCAGGATAACTGAATATGGTCTAAAAAGTCTAAATATGCGATTTTTAGATGGTGTCTGTATATATGTATGTTTGTATGCATGTGTGTGTACTTTTTTTCAATTTTTTTCTCGCAATTTTCTATATAGGAGCTTGATGAAATTTCATGAATTTTTCCATGGATATTGACGTTAATAGGCTCTATTCATCGACACTAATTAAAGTTGAATTATTTAGAGTTTGTGAAATACTAGTATTTTATCAAAAATCAATTTTTCGACGTTCAGTCCAAGAATTGTTATCAGAATGAAATGAATCATGGCTTAAAAAATTTGTATTGATAGCCTCTTGATTCTATCAGAATATGATGCGGATCGCATTTATCACTGTTGAGCTACAGCATATGATTTGTGAGATTTTTTTTTTCCATGTTTTTCATGATGAACTGGAAAAATTAACAGTCATATCAATGAAATCATTGCTCAAAAAGATTGTTTTGATGCTTTCTTGATGAAGTGCAAAGATGATGAAAACAGCATAACTATTTATTAAGTTCCATAGTAGCAATATGAAGCTTTAGGTCATATGGAGGTCATAAGGGAGTCATATATGGGTTATATCGGGTCATATAAAAGTTGTACGGGGCATATGGGGGTCATTTGGAAGTTATCTGAGGTTATATGGTATCATAATGGGCTCATGTGGGATGATACAGGGTCATGTGGGGTTCATATGGGGTTATATGAAGTGATATGGGTTCATATGAGATTCATATAGGAGGTGTATGAGGCCATATTGGAATAATATGGCATTATATGGGGCCCTGGCAAAACAGTCCGATTATTTCCGACTGGGTGATAAAAAATGAATCGGCGTTAATGATGTTTCTGTCTTTGCCGTTAAATTCCGATTGGCTGGTATAGGTAGAGTTTGGAGTTTGAGAAAATTATGAGAATTAATAGGATCAAGGGTATGTGGCCGTTATCGTCCGATTACTTTCCAAAAAAGTGGTTGATAGATCTCATATTGTTCATATAAATCTTTAATATTTATTGCTCATTTAAATATCTATATGCATAATATGAGATCTATCAACCACTTTTTTGGGAAGTAATCGGACGATAACTGCTACATACCCTTGTTCCCATTAAGGAGGCCAAGTGGGTCAAGTGCACAATTAAATTGATCATTTTTTTCAAAAACCTTGCATAATAAATTGTGTTAACTTGATTAATTCATCTCGCCAATTTATATTCAAATTGAGTTGGGATGTAATACATGTAAAATTTTCTTTTTATTTTTTCGACCAAAAAATATTTGTTTTATTGACTAAATGGTGATATCTGGTGGGAATCGTGGCAACACCGCTGCTGTCAGCTGATCGTAGAGGCGCGAGGGTTTGTTGATATTCGAACGTGTGTTGGAGGTTATACATGCCTGTGAACAAACCATGGCCTCAGAAAAAAATAAAAATTTATTGCGTGACAAAAGGGGACAGTTTATCTCCCAAAAATGTAAAATTCGTGAAACCAAGTCTCGAGAGGGTGTAAAAAATGATCATGAGCAACAAAAATTACTGAAAGAAAGTGCAAAAAAATCAGAAGCAAGAAAACCGAAGGAAGAATCGAAGGAAGAACCTTTCATTTTCCACGGACGGTGTGTAGTAGAACTTGATACGCTAGGTGATAATGAAAACACCGTCATTTTCTTAATCACCCATCCCTCACCCCCAGACTCCAATATTCCTTTATTCTCTCCACTACTCATTAATATATCCAGATTCAATCTAATGAATTTTTTAAGAGGGAAATGTCGAGAAACACATTTTGTTGGACATTTGGTTAGCCATAACAAGATCCATTGAAATGATTTCCCGAGATGAGTATATCCTGAGACCACTGTTCTTTCGCACAATTCGTTTGAAATTCAATTATAAACACCATTCGAGTCTCATTGATTGATAATTACGTTTGAAATCCTAAAATTCACTTTGAAAAAACATCCATCGTGAGTGACAGGTAGGGTTATGTTGACGGGGGGCGTACAGCGGAGTAGGACAACTGTGTGCGCTGTTGTCGCGTATCATCCATTTTGCTACGAGCGATTTTTTTCCCTGGAAGTGAGTCGAAAAATTAAGGTTTCGTTTTTATTTGCCCCGGTTCCTCTGATTTCGCCCGGATCAATCGATTCAGCTTTTTTAAAATATTTTTTCCATATTTTTCGGGATTTTTCATGAATCTCTAAATTGACCAATCTTTTATTTTAGTGCATAACCTCATAAGAGCCAATGCTGGATCTTCAAATTTTGTTTATTTAAATTCTCAATAATTAATACCGGTTGAAAGGTCAAGATTGTCATCTAAATTTTTTAAATATTTCTCGCTATTACAGGAAAAAAAAATTGAATTTCTGTTGATTTATTAAACATTTTCACTTGGCACCCTTAATTCTCATAATTTTCTCAAACTCCAAACTCTACCTACCAGCCAATCGGAATTTAACAAAGCAAAGACAGAAACATTATTGACGCCGATTCATTTTTTATCACCCAGTCGGAAATAATCGCACTGTTTTACCAGGGGGGTCACACGGGGTCATATGGGGGTTCTATGGGCTCATAAAAGGGTAATATAGGGATCATAAAAGACTCATATGGATTGTAATGATTTTTCTTTGGCCTCAACAAATACTCAATAAACCCTAACCCAGAAGTCTCGATTATCCAAACACGGCCAACTCATTACCTTCGTTCTCGTAATCCGACAAGTCTGAAACGCCAAAAACCATAACGCTAACACTGGACTTCGGGAACAATCAGCAGCTCATCCAATCCTTATTTCGTGTATTTAGGGCGCCAGCCGATTTTTAGCAACGCGGAATCGACAAACCGCAAACGGAACCGTATTTTCTTAAAACTAAATACTGATTGTCCCCAAAAATCCAATAACGACAAGAAACATATCGCAAACCATACGCAGAAATGTGGATTACGAGGGTACGGGATTTACTCGGCTGCTCAGTGTGCGGGTCGTGGAGAGAGGGGTGGATTCGTGGACGAGAACATCAA